GTGAGAATATTTGGGCTCAAAATCCAATTGAATGTCTATTCTATGATTTTATTACTATAAGAATCACTTAAAACTTGCAAATCATTTATGAATTTATCTCATCTTTTAATTAAAAAGTAATTTAAGACATATTTTAGGGTTTGTTATTGAGTTATATCTTAACTTATTTCAGGAATATTTTAATAAATATAAGGAATATAATGAATATACAGTACATGAGAGCAATATTGATCTGATTTTGAAATCTCAAAGGATTTGCATTTGAAATGCTTTCACAAGGAATTCAGTGCTAACTCTGGCGTCAATGTGTTCTTAACCTTTGGATTAGTTTTTGGCTTCAAATTTAATTAACCAAACTTTCTATCATTAATAATACTGTAGTGTTTTGTATCTCAGAGTTTAGACAATAAAATTCACTTTAATTTAAATCCTAATCCCATTACCAGACAATCTGGCACCGGCATCTATAGATATCACTACAACCTCCCATATAATTCAACGTTTGCCCCCTTTTAGTGATCTATTTATCATAATATTCTTCAATTAGCGGTCAATTTAATGGTTATATAGAGTATTGTATTATAATTTGAGTTCTCATATGAAACCATTGAGTAGATTANAGATATCACTACAGCCTCCCATACAATTCAACGTTTGCCCCCTTTTAGTGATCTATTTATCATAATATTCTTCAATTAGCGGTCAATTTAATGGTTATATAGAGTATTGTATTATAATTTGAGTTCTCATATGAAACCATTGAGTAGATTATACTGTAATTGTCGGCACATATAGTGTGGGTACAAGAGAAGGGACACCTAAGGAAAGGCATATAATTTTCAAAGAATTGCATGAAATGTATGGAAATCTGGTGACCACCCAATCGATGATCTTATATTTGATGACATATTTAAGGTGTAGTAAACCTACCAATATTTAATATGCCATATGAAATGTGTTTTATGTTAAAGTGTTATTAAATATATTTGTTTNGAAATGTATGGAAATCTGGTGACCACCCAATCGATGATCTTATATTTGATGACATATTTAAGGTGTAGTAAACCTACCAATATTTAATATGCCATATGAAATGTGTTTTATGTTAAAGTGTTATTAAATATATTTGTTTGAAAACTAGTGGAAAATAGAGTATATTTTAGTGATTATGTGAGAAATTTATATTTTATGTAAATAACAGTGAGTTTGATGCCAGAGTTGAGCCAATAGTAGTGAGAGAGAGGGGAGGAAAGGGAGAAAAGCCATAAATATTTGTTAAATTGATTTATTGAATACGATTTGTTTAGGGTATATAACATTGTACTGTAGACTGAATTACATTTTACTCGTATTTCAAATTTAAATAAAATAAAAATATATTGATTTTCTTCTAAAACCTAAAGGATTTGCTATTTTTGTGGAAAACTTGAATTAAACCGAAAAACCATAGCTTTTCAATAAAAAGCAATTGATTCTTATAATAGTATTATAATATTAATCATTAAAATTACTATCAAATAGTATTTTATTGTATTAACGATTTTTGTGGAAAACTTGAATTAAACCGAAAAACCATAGCTTTTCAATAAAAAGCAATTGATTCTTATAATAGTATTATAATATTAATCATTAAAATTACTATCAAATAGTATTTTATTGTATTAACGAATACATTCATAACTTAAATAAAAGTATAACTTTTGTGAAAACAAATACTCATAGCGAAAAAAATAAAAGTGTTCATTAAAATCAAAATACAGTATTTAATTAGTATTTTAGTCGCAAAACAAGTTCATTAAAAACATTGTGTAATACTTTTGGAAAGTTTTTGAACACCAGATCTTCTTCAGGAGAGAGAAAACATACAAAAAATTGTTTTCATTCAATAAAGTCGTGAATCGATAGGAAAAGTGTTAAACTCTTGAAAGTGATTTAGATATGGATCTGATTTTACAGTCAAAGGCTGATATAATATAGCGATGGACTTGATTTGCAACTTTAAAAATATACATTCCTTTACATTAATACTACATATACTGTATTTTCAATTTTAAACATATGCCTTAAATCCAGTTATATTTTATGTGTATTATAATAAGTTATAGAGATGATGAAATTAGTTAAAAACACACTTTAATTAAAATTATTTTCATTAGGTTTAACATAACTAATATAGATTTCTAATATATTAATGTTTTTCTAGAAATTCATACAATAATTGTTAACTTATTTCTAAATTACAAAATTCTGATGAAAACTGAATGAATGCTCAATGAATTAATGTTTTAAAAATGACTTTTTGTGGGAAATTTAATTCATATTGAATGTATTTACGAGAAAACTAAATGATATTTGTAATTATAATACAGTATTAAAAGCAAATACATTTAAAAATTATTATAATAAGCATAAAATATTTGTAAATACGATAACAAATATTATAATAAAATACAATTATCAAGTCAATTTATTATTAGACTTTATTCATAGCTACTGTAGTAATGATCGTGAAATATAACACATTTTTGGGTCAAATAAATGATTACTTTCCTGAAAGCCATCATAAATCATGGTTTCGAAAGTAATGCAATTATTAATGAAAAGATTTTGATTTTAAAAAACAACTCGTAATCCTTCGGGCGATAAGATGTTGGTCTCACTACTCGAGCATTTGGTTAACCATCCGAATCAAGCCCTTCAACGCCTGGGTCTGTAGCTCTTTGAGCGCCCGTTCCTTCTCTCCGGGAAGGATACGGTCTTTGTATCCGAAATGTATGTTTTGCCCGAAATCTCGAGTGTCTATTTTGCCGGTCCTGTACTGCCGGACGTCGCCCAGTATGTCGACCCCACCGAACGTATTCACTAATGTGTACTGTTTGGACAGCAAATCCCTGTCCGTTATGGACGAGTACTCATCGCTACTCCTCCGGTGCCGCAAAAGTGGCCTTTCGTTTGGTTTCCTGTTTTATATTTAAAATCTATTTTTATGTCTAATGTGTACTGTTTGGACAGCAAATCCCTGTCCGTTATGGACGAGTACTCATCGCTACTCCTCCGGTGCCGCAAAAGTGGCCTTTCGTTTGGTTTCCTGTTTTATATTTAAAATCTATTTTTATGAATATTTTCATAAATATTTATAAATGAAAATTATAATAAATAAAATTTTATTTGCCTTAAGTGAACACATTTATAAATAAGTCATAATATTATTACTTTTTATGGGATCTACGAATTTATAAATTTTTAATTTAAAAATATATTAATTATTATTTAAATTTATCTAAAGCTCGTAAAAATGATAGGAAATCTTAATTATTGTGTTATCATTAGGTTTCTAATGTATTTTCATTGACACTCTTGATAGTTTAAAAACAAAGATTACTTACAGACATCAATAACAGTTTAAATTAATAGAAATACTTTCTTACGTATTTTACAACAAATAAATAATTACTAATAACTAAAATAAAGTTAGGAAACTAAACATTAGTGAAATTACAATTTTATATCTTAAATTATTTATTTTAGTTTTTAGAAATAACTTATTGCCAATAACTTTTAAAATAACCAAAAAATTATTTTAACACTTTATTAAAATTAATACAAAGTTTATTTTTATAATTACTTAATGTTTAGATAAAAAAATTAAACTTTAAATACTTACGGCTCAACAAACGATAAATAATTGACAATTAAAAACATAACAATTACTAAACAAATATTTCGTTGTGTTAAACACATTTGATTTGGTAATAAATAGCATAACATTTTAACCCAAAAAATGATTTTTATAAATGAGAGTAAAAGTTAAACAAAATTTGTACAAAAATATTACTTTCGGCTGAGAAGTGAAACTTATTTTTATAAACAAATATATTTATATGAAAATGCATTTTAAAAATAAGTTTTACTTTTCATCTCAAATCCAGTTCACAGACCGGTTGTCAATTCAAATTATACTGAATATAGTTTATAACAGTTTATCTAATTTTACATTTGAGGCACAAAAATAAATCGTTGAATAAATAGTTTATTAATATTTAATGTGTTTTTATATACGAGCGAAATGTAATGTGAATGCGATTTAGTGGCTATTTATATATAGATTGTATTTATAGTTACATTCATTTGAATATGATTTAAGACTATTGTTCATAAAACATATAACTTATTCAATAATTGTTTGCGAAACAAGTTTTGTGTTTAACAGGCATTCAAACTATTCCTTCAGTACTGTAATTGTCATTCAATTAGTTTTGAATGCTTTTCAATGCATATCAAACTCATTGAATTAAAATTATTTAAATATTAATTTGCAATAAAAATCTATAATTTGATTGTTAAACATATGAAGACATGGATATGTGGTTCCCAGTGGACAGGGATCTAACCATCACTTGATCTATGGTTTGTTAGGTATTGCGGATATTGTGTGCAAAAGTAGTGTATAGAGTGGGGAAGTGGTCAGAGACTCACATCCATTGAAAGTGTGTTCAAAACTAATGCAAACTATACTCCAATAACTGACTCACTCACCAGTTATTGACTTATTAAACCCATGACTAAAGTTCACTAAAAAGCAAATTCATGATTGGATGTGAATAATTGGCTTACAATTGAATGTAACTGTTATTCAAATATAAAACTCATAGACATTGCTGTAGAGCTTATACCTTGTAGTCTATGTATAATAATATTATTATATATGTATAATATGCATGTGTTCAAATGTTATCATATCATGGATTAGCATTTGTGGCGACAATGCATGAGTTGTGATCAAAGACCAGAGGATTAATGCTTGCATTCATTGTCCAGTAAATGTGAATTGGATTTGCATTTGAAATGTTTGCAAATATATTAGAAATATTGATGAAAACTTCATTTGGCGTCTAATGGTATCAAATGAATGCTTTGAATAAACAAAGCGTTGGTTTCAGGTTTAGAACATTCACTGCAATTGACTTTCAATGCTGTGCCTATAACGCTTGCAGTGCTCACTGATTAGGCATTGGGTTGAATGCTGCAATCATTTGCTACACATTTTGACACCTATTCGCGAAACCCTTGATTCCCACGACTGGACATACAGTGAATGGTGTGGTATATGACTCTTACAGTGGAGGCTGTGGTGGTGTCGTCCCTCCCCTCCTAATCGCTTACAATGCGATCCCATATATAAAGCACTCATTTGTCAAATCATATCACATTTGCCTTCACTTCTCACTCGACTCTCAAAAACTTTTTAAACTTTTCAAAAGTTGACCAAAAGTGGTGATAATCATGACATCAGTCTTAGGCCGCAGTTATTCGCCATCGAAGTCATGGGAGAAAAGATATCAGAGATATGTTGAGCACCAGAAGGAGTGTCGCTTTGAACTCTTCAATCAGCGACGGATCAGATGTAGTAAAGACTACAACGACTGGAATC